TTCCTTTTGGTTACCAGACTCATATTAGCACCACCTCCATTCTCTCACACAGAAATGGAATCTGTGTATTAAAGGAAAACCGTCAGATCTTTTTTCAATAGTACAGTAATTACTGTGTGATTTACTTAATTATGGATCACATGCATTTGCTCTGTATTTAATGAACCATTCTCCTCTGAAGCAATCCTTTATACAATCGCTAATAGAATTGCATTGTATTCATGCCCTCAGTGCCTTGTTATCTACATGCTGAATAAAGACGCTGATCCCATGTATTGTTCTGCCCGACGTGAAATTGGCCTGCGTTTTTGGAAGAGATGGACACTGACAGTTTAGAGGGGCAGCCTGTGATTCAGTCTGATTCAGAGAAACGTCCTTATGTACGTCGTTTGGAAATAAACCCGGAGCCAGGGTGACTAAGGGTCGTCTTAGCGTGACTGACACACACACATACAGACTTATTATGGTGCCCAAGATGGTGACCTACTGTCTTAAGCAGTTGAGGTCAGGTTTAGCTTGAGTATCTGCTGGTTTGAAGCAGCACTACGTGACAGTAGACTGCATATGTCTGGCCTTGAGGTCACCAATGTGTTTGTGGTTTGTGTATTTTTGGAAACAATACGAAGGTTTGTTTTTATTTTCAGTCCAAATCTGTCAAACAAACAAACCCTAGCAACTGTGTGTAGGGCTGCTTATTGCAATTGTGATACACTTTGCATATATAAAGAATGCACTGGTCAACCTGGTCAAACAGTAATGTGACATGGTTCTCTTCTCTGTTTCTGGCAGCAGTGTGTCAAAACTTTGGCTTAGTATCTCAAAATTATGACTTTTTTTTCAAAAGATTGATTTAATATCTTGAAACACTAACTTATTTTCTCAAAATAAAGACTTATTTTCTCACAATATTGACTTACTATGGTCTAATAATTAATGACTATGGTATAATAATTAATTAGCCCCTTAAAATCACAGGCTTACTACATATTAGGGGTGGGAATCTCTAGTCACCTCACAATTCGATTCGATTACGATTCAGAGGGCTGCGATGCGATTATAAAATGATTATCGATGCATCTTATTTTTCTATACAGCATTTCTATTTTCTTACTGTCTGAGGACTTGGTAATGTTAAAGCAAAGTATTTGTAATGATCCATAATCAATTTACTTCCAATATCTTTTATTAATAAGTCAAATGGAAGTGATGTGGCAAGTGAACAAGAAGGCTCTCAGTCAGTGCTCTTGATTGGAGTACATGAGACGCTGCTGCCACTCATCTGCGATAAAATGCGCAGTTACGGTGAAATAAGATCCCGTGGTGATGGATGTCCACGCAGCACGTTACAGCTATTCTACCCGTTTAATTCAGTGATTTTATAACTTCGGTTTTGGTCTCGTTGTAGAGACACGGGGTGGGGGTCGCTGTGTCAGTGAAATATGTTCGAGACGGGACGTGTGCAGCATAGCGCGAAAGCCCTGTTTCGCAATGACTGAGAACCGGCGTGCGGACTGCAGGTCACATAGCAGCGATGCGTTAATCGCATTTATAAGCAGCGCAGTTGGTTTCCTGGTCCGTTAAATCTGCAATGAGAGACTGTCACACAGTAAAAAGTGGCGAAGCTGAAGTCGCTTCTCTTTCGAATTCTCGCGTTCCACCTTAAATCGTGCCGCATTTACATTCGGCGCCTCAGTTAGAATTTAAGGTGGAACGGGTAAATTCGAACAAGAAGCTGGAGAATAAGAAGCGACTTCAGCCTCGTAAAACAGTCGAACGCTGAGAGACTTTTAACTGATCAACTTCTGAGGAAAAGTTTTCTGGTGGAGACGGGAGGAAAGCGGCTGTAGACGAAGCTTAAAGCAGAGCGAAGTAAATCTGCATTTTCGTTTATATTGTTTAGTCTACACTAGGACATTAACACATACTGAGACATACTGGGCATTAAATGTGGCTCCCAAGGTGGTTTGATTTGTGTTGAAAGGACAAAATGTCTCTTATCATTTTTGTTGTGACTCCTGACCTAACCTGGCTTTAATGCAGAGGGAGCCGGTCGGATTTCTCACTCATCCAGTGGTGTTTTTGTTACGTGCCGCCACAGACTGTCCGGGCGCTACACTTCCGCACTTACAGGTTCCGCCTTTTGCGTTCCGTCAACATTACGTTATAAATTAAATAATTAGAAAATCAATTTTTGACATTTGTGAATCGATTCAGAATCGTTCACGTCCGCATCGCGATGCATCTAAGAATCGATTTTTTCCCGCACCCCTACTACATACCAAGACTTATTATTCAGTAACTACAAGAACTACAGTGCAAACTGAGTTATTCTTAGCTTAGAGAAGTGTGTAGTAAAACTTTGGACCGGTGGGTCCTGGCCATTTAACTGGTTAATATCTTGCAATAATGACTCACTATTGAAATAATAATTTCTCAAAATTAATTTACTATGACTTATTTTCTCCAAATATTGATTAACCATGTCAAAATAATGACTTAGTATCTCTTAATAATTACTTATTAAGTCAATGTTTCAAGAAAATTAGTTTGAGATATAAAGTCAATAATTTGGGATATCTTGAGAAATATTTAGAGAAATTGTCAGTATTTGTCAGTATTGAGATACTATGTCAATATCTTGAGGGACTGTGGCCAGAACAGTAGTGGGCTTCCATAGTAAACTCATGTACTGGTGACAACAGGCTAAAAATCAGTAGCACAGAGGAACGTTTAGCAGCTCACAGAGGTGTACAGTTGCAAACAGGTTTTATTAATCAAAAAATAGCCAAGGGAAATCTTTTGGTCGGTGTGCAGGAGGTGGAGGTTGCCCCTTCAGAAGAGTTAATGAACTGATGCTAACACTAGAACTAACTGTTGCAGTGCTACGTGCTGAGGACTCCTGGGCTTCTACACAAGTTATTCTGTAGTCCGTGTGAGACGTGCCAACACGTTACTTTGCTGAGGTAATATTAAGAACAGAGAAATATCTTTGATTGCTTTTGGTTTTAGGCTTTATTCACACATACTCCTTCTGCATGGCATGAGCCACATGACAGCATGAGCGCTACAGCTCGAACGCGCCGGCCTTTCACACGGAGCGGAGCAGCAAGAAAGTTACACATACATTCCAGTTTCCAGATGGATAAATAGTCACATCAGTCACTCTGCTCAATTTTTTTTTTTTAATGAAGGTACACGGTATATTTGTTTGTGCTTGACACCATTCTGACTTGTGATTAGGCAAAAATTTCAAGCCTGGTGGACCAACCGGGAAATGCGTTTGCAGCACTGAATGTTTAACTGGTATTTCCTGGCGTTTGTATACGGTTCTCTATTTAATTTTCTCTTTTAATTTAATTAAAAGACGGTTCTCTATTTAATTTTCTCTTTTAATTTAATTTTCACAGATTTTTATGGCTTATTTTAGTGTATTTTGCTCTGTGACGAGCGCAACATGCGGAAAAAATCAGCACTGACTCTATTCTCTAAATACCGCTCTGCTTTATTGCCGCTTCGTACGCGCAGCCTTTGTGAAAGTGCTGACCAGTTAACATGGGTGCCGAAATGAAGCCTATGACTTTCTGTGTCACTCACGCCACGCAGACTCGGTATTTGTGAATTGAGCCTTAGCTTTCATTATTCGAAAACTGGAACCTGAAGCGGTTAACCGAGTAACTTGAGCACTTTATTATTTTGACCTAAATATTTTATTTTTGTTGGATTAAATCAGGGGTGCCCATACTTTTGTGGCTCCAGTGGACAGGTCATCATGATCTACTTTAAAAAAAAAAAGACTGGCTTGGTCCTTTTTTAAAAGCTCTGAAACTTTTTAATGCACTTCAGTGACCTATATTGATATTCAGTATGACAGGGCAAACAGCTGAAAAATCACACTAACCTTATTCTGATTATTTACACTGAATGGTGTCAGCTGGTTTGTGTAGTCTGGACCACTTGTTTCTTCCTGAGTTCACCTTTAGCTGAGAATTCTTCATCATAGTTTCTGTGTGTAGTTCGTAAATACCTATCGACGTTCCCCGTCTTTGGAAGTGCGATGGCTACTTGGCAAATCAAGCAGATGCATTTGGAGTTTGACACTGTAAAAAAAATAGTCCTCCTCCTGCTCTGCATGGAGGAGGTAAGCTTTCGGTTTCTTTGTGCTCGATCTTGCACTCGTCTTCTGAAAGACTCAGTGTAGACTACAAAAGGAAAAACGCAAAAATGGCGCTACACAAGCTGCTACCGATAATTGAAAACTTCTTAGGTTGCTAGAGAGGCACACTCACAGCAGTGCTTTAGGCGGTCTGTGGCGTAGCTATGGTAGCGAGTGAAATTTGATAGCCTGTTTAAATGAGGTGCAATGTACCAACGTGCACTGCAGTCGATCGTGATCGACGTATTGGGCACTCTTGGATTAAAACACATACAGAAACACTCATGTGGAACTGGGATTGGTGTCAGTATTAACAATCGATATATCATGCAGCCCTGCATGCTGTTGTCATTTATATATATTTTTTTTGCTTTCTTTTAAGATTTCACATGACTTTTGCTAAAACCCCCTCAATTCATTTCCTTTCATTTTTTAGGGGATTTTAAGCCATCAGCTATGCAGGCTTTGTGGTGCTACTTTGATCAGCCTGGCACTGTTGTGAACCGTGTCATTTTGAATCCTTCCTGCTGATCCTTAGCTGTGGATGCTGTCAACACAGAGGGATGTTTAACTGTGCGCGAAGCGCTCCGAGTGCTAAGAGCTTTAACGGAAACAAATCATGCTTGGCTGATAAAAAAAACGTTTTGCACGCCTATTTGGAATGTCTTCATAGGTCACGGATGTCTAAATATTTACGCTGAGACGTTCGCAAAGCGTCTTGGTGAAGATGTTTACTCGCCGAGACCTTTACCTGTCATCGCTTTAAGTCAGGCTTGATATGAAGGATGAGTCGTGGGGGTTAACTGTGCAATAATGTGGCTAATAATATGGCTTCTCCTCTCCAAAGGTCAGCGGGAGACACCCGAACTGTCTCTTCTTGTTTGAGCTGCAGTTGGCAGAGAAGGAATGCTCGGCCAAGCTGGAAGAAGAGCAGGTCCCAGAGTCCGGAGGTACTGTACATGTCATATGTGCTGACAGATGAATGATATGTCATATTGTTCCTCAGCATTTTCATTCATTCAGTTCAACTTTTGTGTGGCCGAATGGCAAGTCCAGCCCCATCAGCCTGGCCTGTGCGTTCCAAAAGAGTGATAATATCTCCCGTAACCTTGTTTCCATTGACCTGGATTTATGATTAGCCGACTAAGGGTAAATTATCTTTGACATTTCTTCAGAGAAGGATAAGTACATCCTAGTCATATAGAGAGGAAAATGAAGGCGGTTGACATCACATAAAGTTTAGAAAAGTGAAGATGTGTGTGGCATGCGCCCGGCCCCCCGAACTCCGAGCGAGGATGAAGCCCTGCAAGGATGGCGGGGGGAGAACCACGAGTGAGTGGGGGACGGAGCGCAAAGCCCGAGTTTTGCCGAGGGATGCGAGTGACGGTGGGAGTAGGTGGTCAGCCGTGAGAGAGGGCACGGGGACGATGATGACACCTACGAGAGGCGCGATAGCGGGAAGTGAGTCCTGAGCTCCGCCCCCGAGGCCACTCCACATCACCTCGATCCAGGTGGACGAGCTGCGGAGCAGGGAGGGGCGCTGTGACGAGGAGGCGGAACAACGAGCTCTCGTTCGGGAGAGGGAACGAGAGCTGGTTGTTCCGCCTCCTTGTCACAGCGCCCCCCACCCCCGCTCCGCAGCTCGTCCGCCTGGATTGAACCAGTCACTGTGGGGCTCGGGACTCGTGTGCCGCGGGGCTCGGGACTCGTGTGCGCTTCCCCTCCTCTCCCCACCGTCCTCGTTGGCTTCATCCCCGCTCGGAGGTTGGGCCCCGCCTTCCTGCCGGCTCTGGCGGCCGCCATCAGGGCCCGATGGACGGACAGACGCCACAATGAATCATGTATCTGTATATCCTACCTTTATATTACTCAATGGCCGCTTTATTAGAAATGCCAGTTTTGTAGCTCCACATTGCTGGTGGAAATTTACAGAGTTTTGTGCCTCCCTCTGCCATCAATGGTCATTTTCTGACCACAGGGCCATTCTTGGAATCTTATCGATATGATTGCGATATCAAAATGCAACCTTCGTTAATTTCACATTTCTGTTGGGTGTTGATTTTTATTGACACTACTCCTTCAACAAGTTCAGCAAAAAAAAATTCAGACAATTTTTTTTTTTGCATTTTTATGAAGACAGGTGAGCAAGAATTCCATTCCAACGCCATGCTAGAGCTGTTGCTTATTAACGTCAGTTTACACAGCTATGGCGCTAAGGCAAATTCAGGTCATCATAGCCTTTCCTCCAGCCTTCAGTCCTTGAAGTCCTATTATTTGGTCATCTGCAATTCCCGTAGTCATAACTAGACTTGCCACAATTAGGAAATTTTAGCTGACAAACTGTTAGAACTATAGTTGAATTCGAATGTTTGGGCATATACCATTTGGACGATTAAAAAAATATGTGAAATTTGGTGTGTGCTTATTTATGTAAACAATTTCAGAATGTCATAAATTATGTGACCCTTCAAGCCGTTGAAGGTTTTGTGCTTACACTCAACATCTAAGTGGCTGACTGAGTATTTGAAACTAAAGATAATTGACTCTAACAAAAGAAGAGAAGCCTATAAAAGATATCTAAACACTTCTTGCTTGTATTTTTTCACTGGAGGATTTGGAACATCTATGAGAGAGGTGTTTCTAATAAAGTGGCCTGTGAGTGGAAGCACAAGGTAGGTGTTTCTAATATAGTGGCCAGTTAGTGGAAGCACAAGGTAGATGTTTCTAATAAAGTGGCTAGTTAGTGGACACAAAGTTGGTGTTTCTAATAAAGTGGCCAATTAGTACAAACACAAGGTAGGTGTTTCTAATGAAGTGGCCAGTTAATGAAAACACAAGGTAGATGTTTCTAATAAAGTGGACAGTGAGTGGAAATACAAGGTTAGTGTTTCGAATAAAGTGGTCAGTAAGTGGAAGCACAAGGCAGGTGTTTCTAATAAAGTGGTCATTTAGTGGAAACACAAGGTTGGTGTTTCTAATAAAGTGGCCATTTAGTGAAAGCACAAGGTTGGTGTTTCTAATAAAGTGGTCATTTAATGGAAACACAAGGTATGTGTTTCTAATAAAGTGGACAGTTAGGGGAAGCACAAAGTAGGTGTTTCAAATAAAGTGGCCAGTTAGTGTAAGCACAAGGTAGGTGTTTCTAATAAAGTGGACAGTTAGGGGAAGCACAAAGTAGGTGTTTCTGATAAAGTGGCCAGTTAGTGTAAGCACAAGGTAGGTGTTTCTAATAAAGTGGCCAGTGAGTGTAAGCACAAGGTAGGTGTTTCTAATAAAGTGGCCAGTGAGTGTAAGCACAAGGTAGGTGTTTCTAATAAAGCGGACAGTGAGTAGAAGCACAAGGTAGGTGTTTCTAATAAAGTGGCCAGTTAATGAAAACACAAGGTAGGTGTTTCTAATAAAGTGGACAGTTAGGGGAAGCACAAAGTAGGTGTTTCTGATAAAGTGGCCAGTGAGTGTAAGCACAAGGTAGGTGTTTCTAATAAAGTGGCCAGTGAGTGTAAGCACAAGGTAGGTGTTTCTAATAAAGTGGCCAGTGAGTGCAAGCACAAGGTAGGTGTTTCTAATAAAGTGAACGTTGAGTTGAAGCACAAGGTAGGTGTTTCAATTAAAGTGGCCAGTGAGTCGAAGCACAAGGTGGGTGTTTCTAATAAAGTGAACGTTGAGTGTGTTTGACTGTGAACCAGGCCTAGATCTGTTTCTCGTAATACTGTGTGAAGACCACACAAGACCAAACTCATAAAGAAGGATGTGATCTTTTCCTTACTCCAAAAAAGAGAAAGATTAGTGGCGCAGTTAAATTACAGCCACAGTTTTGCTGCAGAGGTTCACAGATTCTTTGCATATCGATACATTCCGCAACATTTTCAAGGTCACGAGGCCAGTGGTCCTGTGTGGACTGCAGCCAGAAACATTAAATTAGCTTAAACTCTCTCTCACCTCTCTGGAATGGGATCTTATGCTCCTAATCTGTCAGGCTTCGTGGGATCATGTTTGATCTTCAACCAGGCCATTGTATGCGAGTGAGCATTCGGAGCGGAAGATTTAACTTCGCCCTCCAGGTGCGCAGCGGCTGCGTGACTTTTAAATCGAGGGCACTTCCGATATTCTCACGGCTTTGAGCGGCACTTATTAATGATTGATTGTAAGGATTGCGCTCTAATCGCAGCCTTAATGCATATAACTGACATCAGAATGACACAGTAACTTAGGGTGGAAATTGGATTAGCGCTAAAGGAAAGATCAGTTAAAAGTAATAAGGCGTGTTTAGAAGGACAGAAAGCGTTCGCTTTTAGACCCTCCTCCCCTCCGCAGCTTCTCAGAGCCTGTCTTCTTGACTCACTGTTGATGTCTGCATCAGTGTATTAATCATTAAACCCTCGAATGATATGCTTGAGCGTAACACAAGGCGACAGTAAGCGCAGATGCGTGTGCTGCAGTCTCTCTTTCTTGTTGTCGCTGGGAAGACGAATGTGCAGCCATTCATTTGCACTACAGCTCCATTGTTAAAAAAGGAATAATTTTGTGTGAGGAGGAAAAATGTAATAGAGCCTAAAAGCCATGTTGGTTCTTATTAAGCGCATGAGATGTATCTTCAAGACTTTATTTACTCGTGTGGCCTATTTTTATCCTAACTACCAAGAACATCGTTAACTGGCACGCGGAATCATAACACTTGTCTGGTGTGCTCACATTTCTGCAAACAGTGCTGGAATACTGGGAAGCAAACAACGAACTGGACATGGCTAGAAAAATTCAGGCCATTTATTGCGTGACAGTAACGCATTGTGCGTGTTGTGGCATTTTGAAACGAGGCAGTGGAGGCTCACGCGGTCACGTGACCGTCTGAGATTCCAGTCTCCATGGGTATAGAGGCCTGTAGCGCGTGAGCGTGAGCGAAGCGGAGGCTAAATGAAGTCTGGGTTCAGGCTCCGGCAGCCACTTCAGTTTCACGACGCAGCAACTGAGTCAGAAACGAACCAGCTGGTACTGCTTGAGAAACGATGAGACACTGCAGTGAATTTATCAGCACTTGATTTTTCACAATGTAATCACTCAGCCTCCCTCGTTATATAACCCCCTCCTTCTCTGTAGCCCTTTCTCTGTCTCTCGCTCTCTGTAGCTCTGTCTTGCTCTCACTCTCTCTTTCTTTCTCTGTGTGTGTGTATATATATATATATATATATGTTGCTGTTGTCGTAAGAAAATCTTCGATCTCCGTTTTTGACATTTTTTAGTTTTTGACATAATTTGAAAATACCTGTTACCCTTTACATTCTAAATTTCATGATGAATTGACTAAAAGAAATGATCCAGAATGACTTCGAAAAAAGTCTGGTTCCATTGACTTACATTAAAAGCAAAGTAGGTTTTTTCCTTCTCCTGTAAAGTTTCAATTTTGGAGATACAAGGTTTTCTTCCGACAACAGTGATATAGTATGTATATGCATATATGTGTGTGTGTATATACATATATGTGAAATTATATATATATGTGTGTGTGTGTGTGTGTGTGTAATATATATAATGTGTATTTTATTAAAATAAGTGATTGAACATTCATTTTTTTACTAACAAAGCAATCATAAAACTACCAAAACTTTCAAATGTTTCAGTAGTGACTGTTTCAGTAGTGACTGTTTCGGTAGTGACAATTATTAGTGACTATTTTTAAGCAGAACTGAAAAACGATAGCCAGTACAGGACTAGCAAACACAGCTTTGAACAGCCGTACACACAAAGTCATCATAATTTTCATCTAAACACAAAAAAGTTACTTAATTGCAGAAACTCTGCATTTCAGTAGTGACAACTTTAATTTTTCACACTGAGTTTCAGACTTTGGGATACATTTCCTTTAAAACAGTGGGATCTAACTGCTCACCATGTGGGCCCCTCAGTCTCACTTCCTGCTCTAAAATGCAGGGGCATGGCTAAAATAAAGCTCTGCCTGTGGACCAAAACTGGACAAAATGCCTGTGGACAAAAATGTTTTAGTAGCCACATGAAAATGATATGAGATGAGATAAAGATAATGAGATATTTTATTTTATTTTTTTTTAATGTAACTCTTGATAAATCTAAATCTTTCATCCTTTTAGGTTTAAATTAATCATTGTAAATATCTGAGATCTGAATACTTAATCTTTTTTAAATAGTTTATTTACTGTGGGACCACAGTTTGAACTAATTCAGCATCCACAAAGAGAGAGTGAGAGAGAGAAAAAGAGAGAGAGAGAGAGAGAGATTAAAATGATTTAAACATAGAGAAAATTGAACTCTTAACCACCACCTACAAGGCCTGTTATTATTCTTTGACTGGAAATCAAATAAATGCAGGGGGGCTTTCTCTTTTTCACAGTACTATACATGTACATAGTCCAGTCCTTCTCTCTCATTCTTTCTTTTTTCTCTCTGTCCCTCATGCGCTCCCTCTTTAAACGCCTTACATAGATGTGAACCAAAGCCCTCTTTCATCTCTGTCTAGTAGATTAGAATTTCCGCTATTAAGCAGCGAGTAACGGCTGCTAATAGAGTGACTCTGTGTTCGAGGTAATCTTTGGCTTTTGCTCATTTTTAAAGCTCCAAAGTTCTTGTGTACTGTGCGGTGCTTTGCTTGTCCAATTTGATGGATGACAATGTCATGGCACCCTCAAAGTTCTCTGACCAACACACTATTTATGTTCAGCCCTTCACATCACACTCGAACAAGAGCTGCTCGTTAAGACAGATGGATCCAGCTTATCTACCCTAGCATAGTGTGTCCTGTGGGACTCAGTGACTTTCCTCCAACATGTTTTTGTTTAAAGAAACACACACACACACACACACATATCTATCTATGCCGCTTATCCTCCTGGGTCGTGGGGGGTGCTGGAGCCTCTCCCAGCGCTCACTGGGCGGAAGGCAGGAAACACCCTTGACAGGTCACCAGTCCATCACATAACGTCTAAAGAAATAGTTTGGCCAAAAAATTTAATTTATGCCATTTTCCCCTCATGTCAGTTTTGTATTTGAGACCTAAACATCAAGCCTGAACTTTTTGAGGCTGTGCTTGTGACATTAAAACATAAAGATTTATGATTTGGTGCAAAAACTCTGAAATTCGACCTGACACCTCATTGCAAATGACCTGATTTATAAATAACACTTTTGTCCAATCAGAAGCCATATTCTCAGAACAGTTAACACCAAAAAAAGTTAAGACCAGTTAGCAAATTAGTTCAAACTGCGGTCCCACAGTAAAAAAACTATTTAACATAACTATTAAGTATTCAGACCTTAGATATTCACAAAGATTATGTTATGATCTATTTAATCCCAATTCATTAGTAGAGATAGTAATAAGCTAAATGTATACACTATCGTCATTTATAGGGTTCCATCTACTGGGAGGTGGCTGTTCCAAACCCTAACTGCTAAAATGTACACTTTTTAAAACTTTTTTCAATTAATTTCTTTTAAGGATCTCTTTTATATAAAATGCTGCCCTATGTTTTCATGTCACTATTGAGTTTTAGTTCGTAGGCAGAGCCTTGTTTTAGCCACGCCCCTGTATTTTAGAGCAGAAAGTGAGACTGGCATTAGGCTAAAGTCCAAATCGGTTAAAATCTGAAATGAGTTTTCAACTCTGACTTTGAACCGGTTTGGTAGAATCAGCCATAAATAGTGTTTACACACCAGCTTAAACTTAATAAGATATAATAATAAACTTGACTATTGAATATCCCTGTTGCATATCACTCTGCTGACAAATGCTCTTCTCCAGCCTTCTGTTTGTCATCACTTTTTGACAAAAGAGTGGAGGGTATGTGGATGGAATGTTTTGCGATTTATGATAACATACATGGCAACTTAAATACCAAAAGACAAGAAAATGGTTAATTCTTAAAAGATTGTTTTGAAAAAGTGTGTGAAATGTGTAATGTGTTGTGAGTAATGAAGCTGGATATAAGTATTAAAGATATAACTTTAATAAACCAGTAGAAACACTGAGTACAAATAACAAACTACAAGGTTTTAAATAAGTAAACACATTGAGCAAACAAAATACAAGGCAGGCACATAAATACAACATGTAACACAGTGACATGTGTGGACTAGACAACCATCAGGCCTTTTGTATTTAGGCTACATCAAGCCCTTACTTGATGGGGAACACCTGGGAGAGGGAGGAGACAGCGACTACAAACAGGTGACAATTTTAATAGGGAAGGCGGGGAAAAAGGGAGGAGCACAGGAACCAAAACAAAAACAAAAGCACATGGCTACAACACAGGGGGAGAAACAGACACAGACAGAGGGACAGAGGAAACTGTGACAGAATGCGAGTGAGAACAATGCGAATGTGTTAACACAAACAAAGTGACAGTGAAGATTAGCTTGACCGTCTTATTTTAGACTTTACAGGACCATATTTTCGTGTTTTGTCATCACTCAGTGATGCTACTTCTTTAAATATTAACAATAAACCTTACATAGTGCAGCTTTAAGCATGACACCGAATGCAGGCCGGCTTCATAACCATTGAGCTGATGAAGTGAACATGCTGACCCCTTTTTTTCCCCTCAGTGTGGTTGAATAAATGGTGTTATCTGAAAGTTGTGCTGTCAGGGTCACTCTGTAGATCATATGGTACATTTCTCACAGCCTTGATGCTGTTAGTTGTAAAGGTAAAGCGTTCTCGGGGTTCTTAAACCACAGCTGCATGCTCTCTGCAGACTTCGACGTGGGTGTGAACTTGTGGGTTTCCTCTCCACAGGCTGCCGAGGCACGTGGGACAACATTTCCTGTTGGCGCCATGCGGAGGTCGGGGAGGTGGTCGTCAATACCTGCCCGGACGCGCTGAAAAACCTCTTTGGCAGAGACGGTAATTCATTTGAGCAAATTGTAACCGCAGGAACGGTCATTAGAAGAGCATTAGGAGAGCTGTGACTGCTGAGAGATTAGACTGCACGCAGTGATCCAAACTCACCATGAGATACGACATGGTTTATCACCCAATTCTTCACTATTATCTGCAGTTTTTAATGCTATACATAGATAGAGGCTTTACTGAGACGTTTCACATGCTTTCATAAGCCAAGTTCTCGTCACTTTTTCATCAAACACTGCCTGCAATATGCAATAAATAGCAGATATGAGTGATTGCTTGATAGCACAAACATGTCTTTAGAGAGAACATAAGCTAGAGCTATATTTGGGACTGGTTGACTCTCATTGCCAGGCTGCTGTTGCTGTTATGCATGTGAGTTTGCATGAGAGAGAGAGAGAGAGAGAGAGAGAGTATGTGTTGTGTGAGTGGGGAATGAGGCTTGGTTCTGGGATCCCAAAGGCTAGAGTGAGTGAATCACGCACCCCACTCTGCTCAGTCTTGCTCAGTGATCCGTGGGTTCAGGCCAAGTGCACAGCACCAGCTCGCCTTTTCTCCCTCCATCCACACAGCGCTGGGGCAGTCAGGCATTCAGCCCTGCGTCCAGCCGGCATGCCAGCCCTGCAGCCGGCCTATTTTTACCCCTCCACAGCCCTGCCCTGAGACCTGCTGACACAGAGGTCTCGCAAAAGGCCCGCCACTTGGGTGGCCAGCCGGCCATTCAGTGAGCCTAATGGGCGCATCACATCTGCAAACATGTTCATGTGCAAAACCTTGTTTTATACTTCTCTTAATTATGACTTAGTATCTCATAAGATAAATACTTCATAATTACAAGAGTTTGCCATAATTGTGAGATAGTATCTCATTATCACGAGACAGTAAGTCATAATTATGAGATAGTATTTCGTAATTTTGAGTTATTAAGTCATAATTATGAGATACTATGTCACAATTATGAAAAACTACGATCTCTCACAATTATACTAAATTTATCAGATGTCAAGTCATAATTAGTAGCAATAGTCATAATTATTAGTCATAACTAATTATTGTAACTTGCTAAATATTTTTTTCAAGTGGTCAACACACATCTGGTGGGCAAAGAGCTTTTATTCATTAACATGCATTAATGTATATGAATCAAATGATGCATATTAATGTATATTAACATTTTTAATAGCTTATGATCTGTTCATTTAATGTAGTGTTGCATTTTGAATAGTTATAGTATTTGCCAGGTCTCTTTAGTGCAGATGTCCGGAGAGGCCATGAGGTGTTGCTTTAATTTTCTGGATTGTTATCTTGAGATCACAAGATAATGAACTCATTATCTCAAGACAACCGCTATGTTATCTTGAGATCACAAGATAATGAACTCATTATCTCAAGACAACCGCTATGTTATCTTGAGACCACAAGATAATTAATACCTTATCTCAAGACATCAACAAGATAACTAACTTGTTATTTCAAGATAACTGTTACCTTGAGATCACAAGATAATTGACATGTTATCTGAAGATAACAATTTTTGTTATCTTGAGATAACAAAAGTTGTTATTGTGAGACAACTTTTGTTATCTTGAGTCAACAGGATAACCTAACTTGTTATTTCAAGAAAATAACTTTGCTATCCTGAAATAACAAGATAATTAATTTGAGAAATTATCAAGAAAATTAAAACTACCTAATGGCCTTTCTGGACTTCTGTGCTTTAGACATAATCGCTGAACACTGAATAGTGGCTGACCTAATGGCATGTGGCTTTTCAAAAGTTCTGCTTAATTAAATCATTAGGACGTAAATAAAGTCATTCAGAGTAGTTTGGTGTGAAATGCTCTGTTCTAGAGAATCTTCCTGAGTCAGAATTGGTGGTGATAGGAACCAGACGTCCACCTCTAAAAGCTCCCTCACAGAAAGTTACTACTCGAAACGGTTATGAATATTCCTCCTAATGCCCAGGACATTGTTTTACAATAGTTTTGAAATCAGGTTATGGACTAAAGCGTATTTTTCAACTGATTCATAATGGAGAGGTACATGCAGGCCATTATAAGGCAAAATAGTCCCCAAACAAAACATGCGTTGTCCAGATTTACCACTAATTTAATCAAAATAAATTAATTTGAGCCAGATTGCGTAGGCATGACGAGCATAGGCACTGACACTAAAATGTCCATGTGCACATATATGCTGACCACTGCATATTTGTGGCTCAACCAAAGTTTGCGTGTATTCAGAAGAAACACTCCAGGTAACAGAAAAACAGCACTCGTTTTCCATTCAGATGATAACAGGAGTTCTCTTCACATGGGTTTTCCCTCCCATGTTATCAGCTTTATTCATTAAGAAGTGTTTTTTGTTTTTTTTCAGCAGGTCTTTCAAGCTCAAGGCTCTCAAAGCACCCTGTTTGCATAAATTCTCAGCCGAATTGCTGTGACTGCCTGCTCTCTCCTTAAGAGGTTAATGTTGTACATTCTCTCCTGGGCTGGCTGGGCCTTCGCTAGCTGTTTGGTTTCTAGCAGCCAGACTCTACAGCCTCAGGCTTGTGTGGGCTGAAATAGGCCTCCACTCCCTCCCTTCCATACCTCCACTGCCCACCTGTCCTCTTTACACTGCCCTCTGGAAAGAGGAGAAAATTATACTGCGAGTCCTTTCTCCCTTGTCACCTCAGCTAACGCTGTGTTGGATGTGAGCATGTTCAACTGAATTGTCGCCTTTGGAGTCAAGACAAGCTGACAGTTGGACAGACGCTACACTCAAGTGGCTCAGGAATGCATGTCTGATCACGTCTGATTAACATCCTCCTTCATAGGGACAGAAGTGTCCCAGTGGAGGAGACAAGGCTGCCTGGAATGGGCTGTTGAGTGCCCGTTTGTGTCTGTGGATGAGAGTGAGTGCTTTGTGCTTTTTCCCGTTTGTTAGTCATGCATGTGTATTTAGAGTGAAGTTGGTGTGCAAGTCTGCGTGTTTGCACGAGCATGGAGTGTGTGTGTGTGTGTGTGTGTGTGTGTGTGTGTGTGTGTGTGTGGGTGTGTGTGTGATTATTGTTTCATGGTGGTCACAGACTGAGCTAAACAGCCACGCTGATTCATGCCGAGGGAGTTTACATTCGTCTCTCTCTCTGAGTGCCGCAATATGCTCTTAAACTCTCTGTATGTCTAACTCGCTAAAAGCCATCAAACATTCAGACCTCTTAGCTTCTCTGCCTTGAATACAGATATATAGTGTTTACCCACCTCTCAGGGGGTCTTCAGTGTCTTACGTGCTCTCGAAGGGCTGTGTTAACACACTGTTGTGTGTTGAGTGAAAAAATGATTACTGTTATTAGGTTTGCTTTAGGGTCACTCAGAGCTCTTTAGCAAATGGCAGAGATTTGAACCAAAGCAAATGTACGTCACTCAAGCTAAACTAGCTAATTCACTTCACTCAGACTGAACTGAGAACTAGCAAGCGTGCTTCCCTCCAGCTAAACTAAAACAAAATATTTCACTCACGCTAAACAATGCTGATGCTAAACGGGAAAAAATAGACTTCACTTAAAATGAACTTGAAATTTGGATTCACGCCAGCTAAACTAGTACATTTTACTTCAGACTGAACTAGTAAGTTTTCTCACTTAAACTAAACTGTTAGTAAGTTTACTTCACTGAAGCATAGCTAGCAAGTGTTCATCACGCCAGTTAGAGTAGTAAATTGTACTTCACTCAGACCAAACAAGTAGGTTTTCTGACTTAAACTAAACTGTTTGCAAGTTTACTTCACTCAAGCAGAGCTAGCATGTGTCTGTCACGCCAGCTGAGCTAGTAAATTCTACTTCACTCAGGGTAAATTAGCATATTTCCTTCACTTAAGCTAACTAGCTTTATTTTTCCACCAAAATGGCACCTTAAATAAGTAAATGAATGCATTACTTATACATAATATATATACAAGTTTGTCATAAGATATATAACCTATCACTGCTGTCAGAACAAAACCTTGTATCCCCATTTTTGATGTTTTTCAGTCTTTGCTGAATTTTGCTGAACATTAGCATACTGTAAAGGACCATAATACTTATGCATAATACATAATACATAATTGAAACAACATTAAACTATAATACAATGGTTATTGTAATTTTTAACAGAGAAAATTCTCACATTAGTGGGTTTCTTTGGTCACTTGTTCAGCCATCTTGACCCTTGTTTTTTTTTCTCATAACACTCTGTGCGGAGTGTGTCTCTGAAAAAGCTCAAGTAGCCCAGACACTTCACCCAACCCCTCTATTTTAACAAAAATCAGGACACCTTACCCCTAGATGTGAACATGCAAAATGGAGGGCTAAGGTCCAAGTGGTAGGGGCAAAGGGGGAAATGGGATTGGGCCTATATCAATCTCTCTCTCTATTAGAACTGGGCGATAAAACGATAACGATAAGTATCGCGATATAACTTTTCCTCGATAGAGCGATAAGACAGGTTTGATAAATGTTCGATATAATACACCACTCTCACACTTCCACGTTTTAGCGAAAGCCCTGGTGGCGTTTTCTACTGCAAGGAAAGCGTCACTACTCTGCTGTCGCCAGGAGAGGGCGCACTTCCGAGTTTTTCGACTTGATTAGAGAGGGAGGGAGCCACGAGTAAAAAAGGGTCGCCAAATATACTTTAGCAACGGCTGAAACGCGGAGTTATACAGTCCCTGTCTGAGTGATGTTATCGGCGATCTGTTCTCCTGTGACCGAGTGTGAGTGACGAGGTCAGTGGTGTAACTGTACTGTCCTACAGCGAACTCACCTCTTTGCTAGCATCCTAACAACTTCAGAGGTGTTAAATCACGTCTACAGCGCCGTGTTACAGCGCCAAACCGTCATATTTTAGTATTAGTGCATTCTCCCGCAACGAAAGTGAAAGAAAGAAGTGGGTTCATGTTCGAAAGTAAACTGAGGAAGCTGTGAGGCATTGGAGAGCGGGAGAGCGCTGTCTTTCCAGGCTAGCTGTTTTTAGCTGCTGGCTAACTTGAAGCAGCGCTCCGGCACAACACGGTGAATTGATACGGTAGATCAAACGTAACACAGAATCACCGCTTTCAGTTTAAACATGCCTAAAAGGAGGACTCTGTGACTGGTGTGAGAGATTCACACTGCAGATAATGCTTTTACACAGCGAGCGTCAGATATACTGCGGTTCACCCCTTAAACTACTGCGATAGCATAGAGAAACCCAGTCGTCGCTAGCTGGTGTCTGAATACTGTGATCTGCTCTGACATGGATGTGGTAGGAGTGACAGCAGTGACCTACCGAACCGAGCTGACGTTGTTGAGAAACTAAAGAGTTTAGCACTGTTGTTGGCCACTTGTTTAGCATTTGTAGCGGGGTAGCCGAGCGCTCGTCACCAGACAGCTAAAAATAATCTGTTTTCTTTCTTAAATCATGACTATTACAAAAATTGCAGCTGTGCATTTCAAGCTGATAAAAACAGCTCAGAAACTTTCTCCCACTGTCCCAAGACAGATTAGTGAAATGTTCCACTGTTTGGTGAGTGTTTGTCATGATCGGACCATAAGTGATAGTTTAAAACCACAATTAACCACCCAGGAGCAAAATCAGCCTTCAAACGTGAAAGAAATCATGATTTGACATTTATCGCGATGTGTATCGATATCGAACGATATGAATTTTGTTTATCGTGATATCGTTTTTGGCCGTATCGCCCAGCTCTACTCTCTCTCTCTCTGTATATATATGTGTGTGCATGTATATATATGTATATATTGCTGCTGTCAGAACAAAACCTTATATGGAACCAGAATTTTTTCCAAGTCATTCTGGTCTGTTTCTTTTGGTTTATTCATCATGAAATTTATACACAATGTAAAAGGCAACAGGCATTTTCAAATTATGTCAAAAACTGGAAAACGGAGATACAAGACAGCAGTAGATTTTTTGTTCTGACAGCAGTAGATTTTTTATATATATATATATATATATATATATACACACACACACACACACACACACACACACACACATATATATATATATATATACACACACACACACACATACATATATATATATATATATATATATATATATATATATATACATATCTTTGCAGGCAAGCACTGATGTTATCTTGTAAGTTCATATAATGCACCATTTGCCTGCCAAGTCTGCTGTTGCAGATATAATGGTAGCTATTTATGGAATATCCTGTGTGGGAAGCTAATGTTTTGTTACTGATGCTATTATCAAGCCTACACAGTAATGCTAGAGCCACAAACATGTATATGTGCTGTATGAAAGAGGCTCTTCAGCCCTCATTCTCAGCCCCCAGCCCCTGACTATCCCTCAGCAGTATAGCATATGGAAGTAGAGTGTACAAATGAGACACTGATGTTGACAATGATGAGGAAAATGATGACAAGCTTCCTGGTGTAGTGTGACTGCAGCTAATGAGAGGCAGATCACAGTGTATCAGTGAGTTCTAGGTAAAAGCATGTGCTGACTATATAAACAGAACTAAGCATGTGCGCACTGGGGTCTTGCACTTTCATCTGCAATACACAGTACATGTATACTAATTTAATCCAGTTCAGTCCTGAATACAGAACACCAGCAGAGTTGTCTTCTCACAGTGGGAGGATAGCAGATCTAAAGCTTGGTTTTCTCTCAAAGATGAAAGCTTTAAGTGCTTTCATCTGATGGGGACAGTTGGTGGTCTACCAGGCCTTGCACGGTTCTTAGCAGTCCCATATTGTCTAAAGCTTTTAATGGCTCCAGTTTTGGAAACTCTTGTTTTTTTCACTTTTTTCCCCTTGACTTTCTCCTTCCTCATGCAAGTGGATTATGTTACATCTAATCTCCTCAGAAATACCTCCTGAACGATTAATAACTTGCTTAATTGCACTTAATGGTATTTTTGACTGGAAATGAAATAAATTAAGAGTGGCAAGGTACAAATGTAAAATAGTAAATACATTAGAGTAAAAGTCAAAATCAAGAGTCAAAATCAAAATACAGATAAAAATTAAAATGAATGATTTTAAAAGCTGAGGTCAGCAAAGCAGGAGGTCACCTGATGAAATGATTGAAGACTAAGACCAACTGATTAAGAATCAGGTGAGTTTCAGGTTGTTTGGAGTGAAAACCTGCAGCCACACCGGCCAAATTGGACACCCCTGCTGTAGAGTTTTGTATATCTACTTAGACACTGTCTGTGTTTACATGCAAAGATTTTTGCCACTCTGATTGAATACATTCCCATTATAGATTAAGACTGAGGTGTTTATGCTCACTTTACTCAACAATCTGATGAAAAATCTCTGTTTACATGCTCACTACCAGTAATCTGGTCCAAAATTACACGCATGCGTAGAGGACCACTAAGTGTAGACACTACCATGACAATGAGCATCACGTGAGTCCAGTCAGAGTGAGACAGCAGCAGTGAGCAGCGCTTCTGTTTTTAATTACTTTAAAATGATGTCAGACTCAGGAAAACGTGCTTCACATGTCCTTATTAAAGAAGGCCGAGAGGAAGACGTCGTGTTCTGAGACACATAAGCTGGACGTCCGTCCCACCGCCGTCTTTTAAAGATCAGAGCATAAACTTTGTCTCCTCTGCAGACCAGTTTCTGCTCCGCCATGTTGAACGGTATAAACTTTCACTATGACGTGACGCACATAATCAGAACGGACTTAAACTTTCCGATTGGGAATGTAATCAGATACAGGCGTTTACACAGATATTATTCTTCTGTTTAACAGATTATTTACAGGATTACCCTCCTCATTCAATCGGATAGAAATTGTATTCCAAAAGGCCTCAATCGGACTAGATATTCCGCATATATGTATATATCTGGACGTATTCTATTCCGATTGAGCTATTAGTCGGATTATTAACGGATTATCAGGCTGCATGTAAACGTGACTAGTGATACTACCAAACCAGACTGATATTAAAAAGGTGAGCGCAGGTTCTGTTGCAGTTAAATAAAACTGTAACATTCCCGCCCTCAAAAATCTAAATGTCTTGAGTTGCCTCAGAAAGAATAATATTGCCTCAGAAAGAACAATATTGCTTCAGAAAGACTGTTGCCTCAGAAAAAGTAACCCAATTTGAATAATTTTGAATAATTACTTGAAAAACATGTTCGCTGTTGCTGTAGTTGTATTTTTCCCAAATACTTAGTTGAAAAATGTTTTCTGATAGAACAGAAAAGGCAGTGACAGACTACAGTCTTTATGTTGTTTTGTCTTTCAGGGAAGATCAGCAGGAACTGTACGGATGATGGATGGTCAGTGGTGTACCCCAGTGTCCATACCGAGTGCTATTCTGAGCACAAGCCCGACAAGGTTAGTGGGAGAGCGGTGGGACGTATGCCATTGAGAACGCTGAATTTTCATGAGGAATATTTTGGTTCTCGCCAGACTATGACAGGCACACTTTTAGCTGGGACATGTGTTCATCGTCTGGCCTTTGGGACAGGTAGGGTGGATAAGAGAAGGTAATGAAATCAGTGTGCAAACTCATGCAGGAAGGATCCGTTTTGACTGATGGGTGGCCCCTGTCTTCCGCGGTGAGCGCTGCCCTGACTGAAGGATCGCTGTGTTTGGAGCCTCGGGGCTCTCGAACATCTCTGTCCAAACCACTCAGCTCCCTCGCCTGGTCCTCTGCCAGCTGAGGCTGCTTTTGGGAGAGTGTGTGTGCTGTTGTGTGTGTGTAAGTGAGACAGAAGAGCGAAGAAAGCATTTGAAAAGTGTGAGATCCTGACTCTTAGACTATTTTGATGGGCTGCCCACCAATTTGCAGCTCGTATTGTGTTTCTCCCAAAAAAAAGCAGCCAGACTGAGGAGAAAATGATTTTACACTGTAGAAAGTAGAAAAGAAGCACCAGAAGCCAAAAAACACACGATAACAGACTTAAAGAGCAAAAGGAGATTCATTCTCATCTGTAAGAGCAGACACAGCCTAAAAGGAGATGCAAGTGTTCAGCTTGCTTATACTGAAACCTATCAGGCCTCGTTAGAACTGACCAGTCTCTCTGGTCATGTAGCTGCTTCTTTCTTTCATAATTTTTTTTTCTGATTGGGCATTAAATGAGTGGTTTCATCTAGTGGCTGTCGCTGGTGCACCTGTGGAGTAGAGGGTAAATCAGAAAGGTAGAAACAAGCCACTGACCTGGAAAGGTGGGACACTTTGCAGGAAGTGAACCATGAGGAAATGCGATGTCATTCAAAGCATCAGAGTGAAGGTTCAAAAAGTAGGACTTGGCTGATTGTTTTTCGTTTAGATAGCAGCCCATATGTACCTAATAAGTTGATATACATTTAAACAATACACTGTATAGCTGTCAGAACAGAACCTTGCATCTCCATTTTGGTCATTTTTAAAATTTTTTTAATAGTCATTGCTTGATTTATTAAGATCTGTAACTTTTTTATTGTATTCTTTTAGGAGAGACATTAAAAAGCATGCAATGACAACACACAATTCCATGTACATGTCAATTTTCATTTATATATCCTTTCATACATCTTATAACGCTTATCTTTCCCTCTTTTTTATTATTTAAAAGTAATTTTTCCCCTCTTTTTAACATTTTAAAAATAAAATAAATTTTTTTCAGTTTTTCACACTATTTCAAAAAGCCTGTTACCCTTTACTTTGTGAAAAATGGACCAAAAGAAAAGCCAAAAATACTTGGTCTTGTTCTGTTGAATTACATTAAAGGTAAAGTAGGTTTTTTCCTATCTCTTGTTATTCTAGTTTTAGTCCTGTTAAGTTATTTTAAAGATATGAGGTTTTGTTCTCACACCAGCGACACGGAAAATATTGGATAAAGGCATTAACCCACTATTTTCCATATCGGTGCGTCCTTAATTATAGACCAATAATATGTTTCTCCACCCACTGTCCCATCCCTACCTGACATCGAGCAAAAACGCTCAGCTAGCTTAGAGACCCTCCCTGAGGCCAAGTTTCACTCATGGTACAAAATAAATAAATCGTATAAACCTAATTCAATAATTCCACACATTTTCATTCAGTCAATTAGAGTAAGATCAGCATAGACAGACTTTGTTATCTCAACATAAAGTTCAATTGCTGATGGAACAAAATGTAAAATTTCAGTGCGATTTATTTTGGGTTCATTAGAATAAAATTTTCTTTGGATCAACGTAAACACTTTTCACTGAAATGTACTCCCATTAAATTTGTCCGTTTTATGTAAACCCCGTTTCTTAAAGACAACACAATTCATTTGTTTAATGTCGATATATTTTCAGTTTGTAAGTCAGACAGCCCTGTTGGTTCATTCGTTTAAGCCTACCATCAATACTGTAGAGTCAGTGTAGAGTAAGATACAGCGGAAGCCATGCTTCCACTGTGAAGAGCATTCTTTATTAAACACCTGGACAGAAAGGCAAATACGAAGCACAGAACTTAAGGGAAGACCACTAGCAACAAACTTCACAATGATGGTGGGACCTACCCCCAACACAAAACACATTAACTTAACCTGCACCTGGACACAAAATAACACATATAAACACTGTAAACTAATAAACATTGACATTAACAGCAATAGTAACCGAATCGATCAGCACAGGAACTGAAGACTTAGTGTTAGTACTGTTAGACTCTGTTCTTCTCTTTTTCAGATACTGTTAGTCTAAAATCACAAAGCAGTACAGATGTTGGCACCAATAACTACCCACCTCTGTTTGTGCTGCAACCAAATTCTGAACTCTTAAAAAATGCTCCAAGTAGAATCATATTACCTTCTTCAAATTGTGAACGTTTTTTAGTGTCAGGGAGAACTAATCATGTGAAAAATGGACCAAAGGAAATGGCCAAAAGATAAAAAAGTCGGGTTCCAATGACTTACATGAAGAGTAAAGCAGTAAAGTTTTCATTTTGAAGATCCGTATCGGTGCTACTTTCATATACTCTCAAAAAAAGGTATGAAACTGTCACTGGGGCAGTGCCCCTCTTGTCACTGGGATGGTACCCTCAAGGGTCCATCTCAGTACCTTAGTCAGGGAACAAAACTGAACCATAATCCACTGAAATGATATTTTCTAAGTTGTACTGACTCCACACACCCCGTCTCGTCTCCAGGACTTTATTTTATTGTTCTATTTTAAAACATTCGGTTATGAAAAGATACAAAATATGTACTTTTCACCTGGAAAAACTTATTTAAGTTTCACAATCAGACCTTAAAACCACTGTTGTACCTTTGAGGGCACATTTACATTGTTTGTACCTTGGTGAACGAAAAACGTACCTGAACAGAACCTTTATTTCTAACAGTGTAGGTGCGGGATCAGAGCTCAAGAGAAGGTCAGAAGACATTACATCTCTACAGCATATTGTTAGGATACCAAGCAAAGTTAGAACCTATAACCCAGCAGTTAGAACTGTGTAGCTATCAACAGCCACCTCCACCATCCCTTTTGTAACTGTGACCTTATTCACAATATACTAGCACGGCCTGTTATTGCTTAAAATATTACCACTGTGTTTTGTTTTCATATCCCTGGTGTTATATTTTATTATAAAAAATATCAGCTTAACCTCTTGGCTTTGATCTGAACGTCTCAACTGAAAAAATCTCAGGATGCCATTCGGGGGAGGGCGGCACAAAAGGTTAGTTTTATGTTGGAGTTATTAGCATCAGTCAAGCAGACAGCTACAGAGTTTCTGTAATTCACACAAAGAACTCCAGTCACTTATATAACTCAGAGACGTCTAAAAGGGAGGTTAAAGACTCATGAAGGATCGCAAAGAACAGGCTCAAACTCTCGCTCTTTATCTGATCCGGGAGAAGAAGCACAGCCTCTCGTTTACACTAAAAAGCTCTTATCTGGGGAGCTAATTTAGTGCAAGGCGGTTCTCCTGGAACAGCGATCCTCGGCAAAACCATAATTATCTTCCGACATGAAGCAGTAGATGCTGTTCAGATGTTCCACGTGCTTTGTGTGACAGGTTTGGGTTTGAACGTCTAGGGACTCAGCGTTGAGGGCAGACTCCTCTCACGCTTGAGTAAGCCGCTTGCCTGGATTCGGTGGCTTGTCAGCGCTGCTGGAGATGATCCCGGGGATCGGATCAGACACCTAGACACACTCGGCGGTGAGACGAAAACTGCACGAAGGAGCTGCGTCTCTGAAGCAGTTGTGGAACCGCACCAACCCGAGGGTGCGGGAAGACACAGACTCGTGCCCTGAGGAGGATGATTCAACTCGGCTGTAAATAGGTTTAATTTAAAGCTTCCCTTGGAGTAAAAATGGCATACGACTAATCAGTGACTCGCTCCTTCGCTGCAGCCCCTGAGTGATGTAAGTGCTAGAAGTGTTACTTGGAAGGAGAGGCCTGTCGTAAGGATTTAGGTTTGGATTCTGTGGGTTATGTGAGACATCTTGTTTGCCCTATTAATAAGCAGCACCACCTCCACCTCATCCCAAAGATGCTCAGTAGGGTTGAGATCTAGGGGCCGTGCAGCCCGCTGAAGCAGGGAAAACCTGCTCTCATGTTCGTGGGACCATTTGGTGACGATATATGGTTGTGACATGGTGCATTATCATGCTGGAAGTGTCCATCTGAGTGGGGATCAACTGTAGTCAAGAAATGAACTTGAGAATGTGAGAATTTATTACAGTAACAGCCCCAATTTACCGGTGCACATTTATTTATTTCTTTAACGCAAACCTTAGCAAGATACTAGTATTTCCACACTTGGACCCAACCTTTAAACACGGGTGATATTAAAGCAATAAGCCACGAGGGGCCGTGTGGTACTGATTTTATCACGGGGAAGGGTGTTCTTAGGCCTGACGCAAAGCAGAGTGCCTAAAACTCCCTTCCCCATGATAAAATCGCAGTAACGCACAGCCTCTCATGGCTTATTGCTTTTATAAAATGGCAGCCAAAATAAACAATGATAAAATACACACTTTTTCAGAAAGTAATTTAAGTGATTGTTGATAACAGTCGACATAAAACAAGTATTCCGCCAAGTAATGTAGTTCCTTTAGAGCATGGTATCATTGTCAAGCAAGAGGAGAACAACATTCGGTCGCCTACCGCTGCATATTGCGGTCATTTCACGAACTTTTTAACTTTTTCTTGTATAAAAATGGACATATGATAATTTAACACTGTTTAATGCAGAAACCTTTGCTTTATAAGAACTTTTTGGTCACCAAATAACTACCGCAAGTCTTATTTAGCACCATTCCAGCGGCGCCAAACAGCTCCCTGCTCCCTACATAGCTAGTGCACTACGTAGGAATTTAAATACCGGTTCTAGTTGATGTGAGTCCATCAGATAGAGCTGCGTGCTACTGACCTCACATTTTCTGGTACAATTTGGTACATTTAGCCAACCGATGTATCTCGTAGAACACACAAGAAAATAACCACACACTTCAAAAGGATGGTTCTTCAAGGGTTCTTCAGTAAAGAAAATTTACCCTTAGTCCTTGTTTTCGAGGGTCACCCTAGCGGTTGAAATCTTGCCCCACGAAATGGGACAACCCTCAAATAAAAAACAAAGCAAAAAAAAAAACATTACTTCATTAACGGCTACTAGCGCTGATCTGTAGGTGACCCGGTCCGTCTTCAGTGATAGCAGAGGAGGGTAAAGTTCAGCTCCTCAGTGCTGGGCTTTAGTTACATTTAGGGAATCATACGCCTTCAAAGAGGGGGGCAATTATTTATTATCACCACCCCTAATTCTTTAGTGATACTAAGCTGAAGTCAGATATTCTCCAGCTTCTTGTTTGAATTTTCCCGTTCCACCTTAAATGGAGCAGCAGTTACATTCTGGTGCTTTAGGCGTCAATACCACTGGACTATTTAAGGCGGAACGGGAAAGTTAGCTAGCTACCGAGACATCAACATGCTATTAGAGATTTTTTATGCTTGTTATGAAGAAAAGGACCATAATACACTGAAACGATATTAAACTAAGAGAATATGATGGTTATTGTATTTTTTAAAGGAGAAAATTCTCATATTAGTGGGTTTCTTTGGTCTCTTGTTCTCCATCTAGCCGGCTTTTCTTTTTTTCTCATAATACTCTGTTTGGAGTCTCTGAAAAACCTCCGTTTGGAGGGCCATGTAGCCCTAACACTTCGCCCTACACCTCTGTCTCAACAAAACTTGAGACACCCTACCCCTAGGCGCAAAACAGAAGGCTAAGGGCTCAGTGGTAGGGGCGAGGGGTGAAATGGGATTGGGCCTTTCTCTGTTTCAGCCTCTGTTTTCTTGTTCCATGTGCTTTTGTTGTTGTTCAGGTCTTTGTCTCCTCCCCATTCCTGCCTTTTTGTCATCTGTCTCGCCTGTCTGTTGTCTGTACCCCAACTCTCTCATTAATCCCAGGTGTTCCTGGTTTGTTTTGTGTGTATTTATACCCCTGGTTGTGTGTTTTGTGTTTGCTTGGTGTATTGTTCTCTCAGGCCCTGTTTTGGTTGTCTCTTGTTTGTTTTCTAGTTTTCTTCATGTTCCTCTGTCTGTGGTTTTCTTTCTGTTTCAGTATTTTGTTCAGTAGTGTTCTGTCTTTGTTTTGTCACCGTTGTGGTTACCTTTATTGTTATGGAATTTTAATAAAACCAAGGACCTTGCACCTTCATCCTGCTTCTTCATCTCCCTCAACATTACATATATGTAACCATGAACCCTCAAGGAACCCTTTGCTTGATTAAGTGGTTCTTTGCATAGAATGGTTCTTTAGTTTGATAGAGAATGTGTTGAGTATAGTTGTATGTAGAACCTTTATGAGTATGTTTCTATATAGCACCATAAAGAGTTATTCTATTGTTGCTTGTTTTAATGTCTGTTAATCACCTTAGTTTTATAATGATCCTGTAGTCTTTTTGTATCCTGATTATTGATCCTGATGCTTCACAGGTCTCGGAGGAAGCCTGTGCTAGACTTTGCCCTCCTAGCGTTGGTAGTATCGTGTGACTGGGGGAGTCCAAACTAGTGGGTGAAATTGGAAACGACTAAATTGGGGAGAAAATTGGAGAAAAATCAAATAAAAAGAAAAACTTTTCCATAAAATCCTTTCATATCATAAAGATGCTTTTTGCACTACACTTTTTTTAAAAGTCATATTATCACCACCCCAGCCACCTGTTGGATTTTGGCCCCCACTGGGACCCCTCCTCTAAAATTGATCTAGACCGACCACTGCATGTGGGAGACAATAGAGCCGACAAGTTCAAAGTCAATAATTTCACTCAATTTTACCCATTCCAGCGCTCAGTTGAACCCTCAATTGATGCTAGAAACACAGCTCTGCCCGATCTTGTTAGAATGGGCAATTTGTGTAAAGGCGGGGGGGGTGCACCTAATGGCATTTCATTGTATATTGGGAGGAAATAGGAAAACAGTAGTCACTGACCCCACAACAAGAGCATTTTGTTTTTTTTGCTCAAGCGCTTGGAAAGTTCATGATCATTGGTAGCTCCATGGAATAAAGCCCACGAGGTGCACTTTCGACCTCAATTAGACGCTGCAGGACTGTTGTCAGTCTTGGGTTTTGGGACGCTGGCCAGATGCTTCTCTGATTCATACGTACAAATCGGGGGTGAAACAAGGCAGTGAGTTGTTTTTCTTTCTGTACCTGCGATGGGGGGAAATTAAACATCAGAGCAATTTCCTGATGAGGAGTGGTGGAGGCAGGGAGGGCAAAATCTGTGCCTCACAGGAATCCTCTCTTTGAAATTAGCGAAGATGACACAGAGTTCCCCTCCCGAGGGTTTGGGGGGAAGTGTAGGCTGACCTTGACCGAGGCTCGTCTGCAGCCTCACTTCAAGACTGAATGTGCACCAGAATAACCCAGCATGTTCTCTTCTTTGAGGAAGTTTTGAATGCTGATCCTTTAAAACTGGTGTAGTGATTCTATTTCAGGGTCTTTTTGGAAACAGCGTCATTTATTAGCCCCATTTGTCTTTCACACATCATTATGGCATGATAAGATTCTCGAGAGGTGCCTTCAGACGCTCCCAAGACTGTGGATTAGCAATCCAGTAGGACTCAAAAGGCAGACAACAGAACCTTGTTATTTAACCCCGTAAAATCCCAGGCTTATGACATACTAAGGCGTATTATTCATTGACTACACTGTTAGAAATAAAGGTTCTGTGCAGGTACATTTTTGGTTCATCAAGGTACAAACAATGTAAATGTTCCCTCAAAGGTACAACAGTGGTTTTAAGGTCTGATTGTGAACCTTAAATATGTTTTTCCAGATGAAAAGTTTGTATTTGTACCTTATCTAATAATCCAATGTTTTAAAACAGAACATTAAAATAAAAGCCTGGAGACGAGACGGGGTGTGTGGAGTCAGTACAACTTAGAAAATATCGTTTTAATGGATTATGGTTCAGTTATGTTCCCTCACTAAAGGTACTGAGATGCACCCTTGAGGGTTCCACCCCAGTAACAAGAGAGGTACTGCCCCAGTGACAGTTTTGCACCTCCATTCCTGAGAGTGTACAGGGACTTCAATGTAAACTGGCTGAGCTATTCTTACAGTATAGAAGTATGTATGGAAATTTCGGGGCCCTGGTCATGTAAGTGGTTAAACCTCATAGGTTCACACTATTTTTGATGGAAGGCACTGTCAAAGTGCTGCTGACCTTTCACAGGACCCAGTCCTCTTTTAATGTCACCTTTTATATGAGACTCTCCAGAAACTTTCCATGGGCACCCCCAAAAACACATTCCGAAGAGGCTCCTTGATATCTCTCTGCCAACATATAAGTGTCTGTCTGAAAAAGGAAATGAGCTGGCCTCCCCTCGGAACCTTTCCTGAGTTGTGCAAAGTGACTGGTTCCTGTCTCACGCCATTGTCCCGCCGTAACTCAGTTAACCTTTAGGCCGCCGCACCAAAGAATGTCCAAATATTTTAATTCTTTTTGAATTAACATGGTCAAACAGGAGATGATGTTTTAGTTTTAACGCGGCATGTGCTACAGTAGGTCACTGGCTGGAATGGTAAGGTCCAAAGCTTCAGCGCCGGTGAATATTGTCATGCATCATGATGTTGCATGTCCATATGTTTACGTCCAGCACTGTATAAGAACATCTGCGTCTTCTTAAAGCTCGAAAGCGAAGAGAACTAAGACGTCACAGCTTTAAATAACAACCTTTAAGTACATACTGTGTAAATAAAAAAGGATATACAGTGAAGAAGCAATTCTATAAAATTTAATTGGTGATGCATGGAATGCTGTTAACGTGGTGTCCAGATCTGGAATGCTGCCGGTGGTGTGTAAGCCCTAAAGAATGCTGTTTATAGAGGATGCTCATATCTGAACTCCATCACACTCCTCTCCCACCACCCGTACTCTGAGTTTCCCTGGTTATCAGCTCTGCATGTCATCATTGGGGCGATAAACGTCTGCTTCAGTTAACGCTCGACTGGTTAAGGGGTGAGAGGGTCATCTGCACTGTTTATGAATGCCCGGATTGCTGTGAATGTTGTCCACTTAGCGGTTATTTATAACTCTGGCAGAGACAGGGAGGAGAAGGTATTTCGAGGAATAAGCGTGCCTGATGTTTTCTAGGAACTGAAAATGAAAACACAAACTTATGTTCTTCTTGTTTTACCAGCTGGTGTTCTATACCGTCGTGAAGACCCTGTACACGCTGGGCCACAGTCTCTCTCTCATCGCTCTCATCACTGGCAGTACCATCCTGTGTCTCTTCAGGTACAAAAAACGAGCCCTCGGCCAGACAAAACGCTCCCTCTCCCTCTCTGCTTTATGTAACTCTCAACTCTTGTGAATGGACAGCTGTGGCAGATATTAATTGTAATCATTACGGGACTTGAGTTTTGGCAGTATTTTTGGAAAGATCGTAATTCAGAGTTTTTGACACTGAGTATAAACATTACGCTTGGCGTTCTATCTCATTTTGATAGTGTTTATATGACTGGGAGCCTGAAATATTCATATAAAAGCTGGGAGGTGAACAAATTGAGAATTGCTTAACATTTTTACTTGATGTCTCTTTTACGAGGGACTTGTTATCTTCAGAAAACATGAGTTTGTTGAATTTGTTCTCCGTATCTTGCAGAAAGCTACACTGCACAAGGAACTACATCCATCTGAATCTGTTCTTCTCCTTCATCCTGAGAGCTATTGCCGTGCTGATCAAGGACGCCATTTTGTTTTCGCACAGTGAGAACATGAAATGCCATGAACAGCCCTCACTGGTGAGCAAAGGAAAGATGCCTTTACTCTAAATTGTGGCTATTTTGGGCTCTTACTGTCCTCTGTGTCAGTTTTTGTTACATTATAGATGCACCAAAGTGGAATTTTTTTGGTAGCCAATAATTAACACCTTCTTGTGGCCAATATTAAGAACTAACAATTTAACTATCTGCATTTTAAAACAAGTTCACACTTTAATCCATATATGAGGGGCAGTGAGAGTACGACAGGATGAAACTCTCAAGATGTATTGTTGGCCAGTACGTAGCTACAACATTGCTAAATGTAGGCCTGTGAATGTCATAAAATTTGACCTAACCATTAGATTAAATGCCATGTAAGTAATTGTGGGTAACAACTCAATCCTCTTTTTTTGTATGCAATTATTAAAATACAAGCCTAAAATTACCATATTGACCTTGCTTCCCAATTGTAGATACTTGGAAACTTCCAAATAACAATAGAAACAGCTTAAACTCACATAAACCAACATTACTCACATTTTCCATCTAAACATATTATAGCACTAGTTTTGTTGCTTCTGTAAGATCCATGACGTCTCTCTATACATTTTTCTTGTTTCTTTGTATTCTTTTTATTGGCTCAACCAAACTGATGAAAAAGCATCAAAGAACGTAATTGTGGTCAGCTTAAATAATCCTGTTCCCCTCAAATAATTATGATTGGTATATACTGTGACAGGCCAAGCTAAATCAAATTCATTCAACATTGCTAGTTTAGCAGTTGTGTCCCTGCCTAGAACCATAGATCTGCCATGTGTGGGGCTGCTGTGTTAGCCACTATGCTATGGCTGCTGTCTCATTGAACCTAGTTCGAGAAGAATGAGACTATTTACTTGGTTTGTGCGTGAGCACAAATGAGCTGCACGTTGTCATTTATAATTATACATATCAATTCCAATATTTGTTTCTATAATAATAATTCAGTTGGCAAATAATATATCAGCCACCAACATATCGTGTAGCTCTAACCATCATTAATGGAGCATCTCCATGTGAGGCCAAATTCTCAGACCATAACATTTACAATTACGGCATTTGGCAGACGATCTTATCCAGAGAGGCTTACAATTTGATTATTTTTTATTTTTACACAGGTAGGTGAAGGTAGTGTTAGGAGTCTTGCCCAAGGACTCTTATTGGTATAGTGTAGGGTGCTGCCTAGGTTGGGGATTGAACTCCAGTCTACAGCGTAGAGGGCAGTGGTGTTACCCACTACACTATACCAACCATAAACAAACATTTAAATAGAGAGATTTACAAGAAGCACTGCTGTGTTCTGTTTCTGCTCTTCAGATAGGGTGCAAGGCCAGTCTGGTCATTTTTAACTACTTCGTCATGGCTAATTTCTTCTGGCTGCTGGTGGAGGGCCTGTATCTGCACACCCTGCTGATGGTGATCTTCTCCAAGAACCGGCACTTTGTGGTCTATCTCTTCATCGGGTGGGGTGAGTCTCGCTCCCCTCATTCAGAAAGGCTGTACTGTCTCACACTGTGCACCACATATGTGCTTTGTTCACAACACAGAGTCATTCAAGGTTTTTGGTTTTGTGCCCAGAGAAGACGTAAACACCATTGTAGCATCCCTAAACTGCTGGAGCCTGTTGTGTTGTAGAGTTGTTTCCTGAGGTTTTCTTTTCCGCCATCACGTATAATCCTTCAAACGAAAGCCTGAAATCATGTTTCTACCCCGAAGCGCCGTTCATGTCTTTGTTCCAGTTTTCACGGTGAACATTTGCAGGGATAAAGTCGGCTTTCAGCGAGGGGGATAAAAGAGGCAAGGCAGCATTTGGTCAGCTTTCTTCTTGACACTCAGAGGCCACAAGCAAATAATCGTCAATTAAGAAGCAAGTCATAACCACACCACACACAAACAAGCGCACGCCTTTTCCTAACACTGCGTTTTCACCTTCCAGCTCGTTCTCCTCAGCAGATGGGAGTATGTGAGGGAAAGGAAGGCTCGGCGCTTGTCGCTGGCTTTTCTCACCACTGCATTATGTATTAAACGTCTTTGTAGTTGATTGTCTCAGTGGAGCGAAGCCTCTGCCAGGCTGAGAAATGAAAGGAGGGTGACTACAGTTCAGTCTCTGCGCCTGAAGGACTGGGGCTGGACTTTGGCTCGCTGGAAACATCCCATCAACACCTCATCAACAGTCTCTTTCATCATGACAGTGATAATAAACAATCTCCTTTCCTTTGTGTTTACCAGGGTTTTTTCTCCCTTCCCAACACACTCGGCACAAACTCCTTTTGTAATGTTGGTTACAGTGTTTACCCCACTCAGAATCAAACCATGTCCTCTGCCAAGATCTGGACAGTGATATACCCCCCTAGTTTCCCATCTAATGATATACTGGGCATCATAAGAATCCTTAGGATAAGCAGTTGCACCATCGAGATACTTACCAGACCGTTATAAAGCATCAAGAGGAACTTGAAAAATGATAAACCTACTTATATATGATCCTACACTTACATGCTTTATTACAACCCTTCTACTATAATGTTCCTGTGCTTCAAAACCTGCCATTAAGTGATCACTTACCTCCCTCTCTTTCTGCTAGGATTCCCCACAATCTTTGTGATAGCGTGGGTCATTTGCAGGATATACCTGGAGGACAGGGGGTGAGTAGAGCCAAGCTTGTTCTCAGGGGCTTTCAATATCAAACGACCGGCCTTTAGGAGTAGCTCTTTTTTATCTGAGATTCAGGTCATTTGGGTGTTCTGTTATAATGTAAGTGGTGATTTTTTTTCTCCTCTTACAGATGCTGGGAGATAAATGATGCCACAGTTCCCTGGAGGGTGATCAACTGGCCAATCATGACTTCTGTTGTAGTAAGCCTAACCATGTTTTTGTTTCATTAGCATTTTTAGCATTTAGCATTAGCATTTCATTAGCAAGTATACTATCTGTGGTAAGTATACTTATATCAGTGTTCTAGTAGTATACTTATAAATGTACTATGTCAATACTTTTTGGGACTAAACCCACTTTTTAGTTTATAAATGTATACTTTTAAGTATTTTTTAGTTGTAAAAGTAGTACATTTTCAGTACACAACCAGTTTACATTTAAGTTTTATTTTGTACTTCAACTATACAGTCAAATACACTATAAGTGAACTTATAGGTACTAGATATATACTTCTAGCCCACTTTTTAGTTTATGAAAGTGTACTTTTTAAAGTATGATTACAAGTACAGACCACAAGTACATACAAGTATATGAATAAGTATATACAAGTATTTGTATATACAAGTATATGCACAGTATAAGTACAAGTATAGGTCAAATTTGCTTCATCTTTTCTGCATACTTGTTAGTATAAGCCAAGTACGTTTAAGTATAATTTTATCTAATATATCTTTGATAAGTACACGAAAAGTAAACTGAAAGCACACTCACTTATATGTAGTTTATTAATAGCATGCATGAATAAACGTCTTTTTTGTAAGGGCTTGTATGAGATGGTATTGGAGAAAATGCTGAGCAGACATTTTCAAGTCTCCCAGGCCAGACTCTCTGAAGTCATGTGCAAATGTCATAGACAACCCATCATTTCTTTAATTTCCAGTTTTTCAGGAGGCGTTTCTGAGGTGATTAGATGTAAAATAATTTGCTTGCGCAAGGAAGGAGAAAGTTAAAGAACAATAGGTGAAAAAATAGTGTGTCCATAACTGGAGTGCAAAAAGATATTCAAAGCTACAGAGAAAATAGGCCTCCTAACAACCACCTGGAAGACCTGGTAGACACCAAAACTACCCCAGATAAACAGCACTTAAAGCTTTCATCTTTGAGAGAGAGGAGAAAATCAAGCTGCTTCAGATCTGAAAACATCCACAGGTGTTTCTGTCCATCCTTCCACTGTGAGAAGACAACTCAGCGCTATGGGTCTGAAAGGATGTGTAGCTGTCAAGAAGAACCTCCCTGAGAAAAGGAGACAGAAAGAGAAGAAATTTTATTTGCAAATCAAACAAAGCAGCGTGATAAGTGAGTGTATCACATAGACAAATCGGTCTGGATCTCCTTAATTCCACGGTTAATTTGAGCTCTTATGTTGTTTCACAAGCCCTCTGTCACTTAAACCTGTGGAGATAATGGCTAGTTTTCTATATGACACGAGAAGGGATAAGAATACAAGCTGAAAGACGCCAGCATTCTGCTCACATCTGGACAGTCCAACTATATTTTTACAAATAAACATGTATCATTAAAGGATTTGTCTTTAATATCCTTGAGGGCTGCATTCCCGGACATGGATTAAGCCTAGTCTTAGACTAAATTGAAGCGCCAGTGGTGAATCATCTTTGGAAATTCTTTTTAGTCTAGGCTTAGTCTTAATCTGGGTCTGGGAAATGTTTGCAGTGGACTGCCGTGGCTTTTTAGATATAATCGCTGAATGTAGCTACAGTGTGCCCAATAAACCTACCTATTTCTAATGTTATCACTGCATCAAAAGTCCAATACTTTTTCAATACTACAACATAATAAACAATACAATACTTTTAACTGATTTCTTTAATGGACCTATATCACAGAACAGCAGATTTTTCTCTTCTTCTTTTTACATCAAGAATCTGATGTAATATGTAAACATTGCTAAAGTTTCAAGCTGTTTGCTGTCCAGTCCAATCAGACCATGTATGGAAACTAAGCTGCAAAAACAGCCTAGTTTGAACTCATTATTTTTGCGATGTCACAAAGAAAAGCACACTTACATACATCCACCTGTTCAGCCTATAGCAGCTTAGCTCCGCCCATGCACACTGACGTTATAAGGGGTTTTAAGCCTGGACTGCTATTTGAATGAAGCTCAATACAGGGCAGCCAATCAGAACAGAGCTCATTTACATATATCGGTCTGAAAGGAGCATTAAGAAAGATAAGATAATGCTTTATTAGTCTCACCACAGGGGAAATTTACAGTGCTACAGCAGCAAAGTAACAAGAACAGAATTAACAAACAAGGTATTAACTTTGTTAATTTCTTAACAAGGTTACAGTTTGTTACTTATTACCGTATATACAATTTACACCGATCAGGCATAACATTATGACCACCTCCTTGTTTCTACGCTCATTGTCCATTTTATCAGCTCCACTTACTATATAGGTGCACTTTGTAGTTCTACAGTTACAGACTGTAGTCCATCCGTTTCTCTGCATACTTTGTTAGCCCCTTTTACCCTGTTCTTCAGTGGTCAGGACCCCCATGGACCCTCACAGAGCAGGTACTATTTAGGTGGTGGATCTTTCTCAGCACTGCAGTAACACTGATGTGGTGGTGATGTGTTTTTAAACACCTCAGTGTCACTGCTGGACTGAGAATAGTCCACCAACCAAAAATATCCAGCCAACAGCGTCCTGTGGGCAGCGTCCTGTGACCACTGATGAAGGACTAGAGGATGACCAACACAAACTGTACAGCAGCAGATGAGCTATCGTCTCTGACTTTACATCTACAAGGTGGACTGACAAGGTAGGAGTGTCTAATAGAGTGGACAGTGAGTGGACGCAGTGTTTAAAAACTCCAGCAGCACTGCTGTGTCTGATCCACTTGTGCCAGCACAACACACACTAACACACCACCACAGCGCTGGTTGTACACTCTAACAGCAGCATAGAGGAAGGACCTGCGATAGTGACAGCCTTTAATTCTAAAAGAGGTTGAAAAATGGTCATGAAAAAATACCAAAACACTTTTTTGGTACGTAAACGCACACAAATGTCATAAGAAAAATGTGGGATGTGGGTGATTGTTGGACCTTATTTTTGCCATTGTGTTGTTTTGGTATCGAGCTTCATGGTACTTCACTTGGTTTTGGTGTTCAAAGATATCATGACAACCTTGTTACTAATAAAGGCAGACTAACTCCCAAAAAGCTGACATAAAACCTAGTGCCCAATAAAGGCCAAGTAATAACTAACCAGGCAAACTTAGCTGCTTAAAAACCTCAGCCTTCAGGCTCTCAAGGACACTGTACTTAAAGCAAGTGATCTAAATTGAAATATAAATGTATCTAAAATTTAAGATATTACCTACCTTTTCTCTTCTTAGTGATAGAATAAAAAATGCAGTAAGTGTTAATAAAATGGACTTAATACATTCATTTTTGACCATATTTCGCCGACATGATCAGCATATGTCACAGGCACCTACTTGCAGACCATTGCTCAAGGCTGTAGTCAAACTCGGTTTGTTTATAAACTAAGCTAGGATGAATTTTTGTCGGCTGAACGACTTCGCTTCTCTCCCCCTGCACTGTCTCTGGAGCAGACGTGCTGTCATTACCCCTCTCCTCCCCCCGGGGCCCAGTGTGAGCGAGTCCCCTGACTCTGCTGTGACAGTTTCATTTTACATAAGCTCACCTGCAAGAGAGCACTGATCTGCTGATGGAGTGGGGTGAGTTTGACAGCAGTGTCTCTGCAAATCCAGGTCAGAACAGACCCATTTCTCTTGAACAGGTTGAGTGGGGAAGAAGACGTGCTGGTTTCCTGCTTCTGGGTAAAATATGCACTTCAAGTAATCCAAGTCGTTAACCTCTTTCAGAGGCACATCTCTCATAGTGCCCGGCGCAGAATGTTACACATAACTCCCACACTCGTCCTGTTGGACTCATCCTGAGCCAAAGCAAAGCAGATCCTGTTCTGTTTGTTTTAGGGCTTGACCAGTATAAACATTTTCTGGCCGATCCTGATACTGACTTCAAGGTTTAAGGGGCTCACGACGACCAATAATATCCTTTGGTCAGCCAAGACAATTGTATATTTAGGGGTCCGAGCATGAAATGCTGGAACCCTATTGTAATTTTTAGGATTTTTCTTTTTCTTCTTCTTGTTTTTCTTTTATTTATTAAAATGAATAGCATCCTGTGTACTGTATACTGCATACTGCCTCAGTATATACTGTATACTGCATGCTGCTCTTCATCAGTATCATACAGTACAGGATGCAGTATAGAACACAAACCGGTGCGACTGGTCTGCCAACATCTGGCTCTGAGGCTATCAGAATCATCTCAAGACCCGCCCCATTTTCCTCAGTCCTCCAATCACTGCTTAGCAACCGTTGCTAGCCGCTTTTCAGTGTGTACATTTATATTTTGGTCGAGAGATGAGCCGAGAGATGAGCCCAATACAGTGACAGTAATTGTCAAACAAAAAGTTGCAATTTTAAAACTGTACCACTCAAAAATAGGGGTGGAGCTTACATTACATAACTCACACAAATACAACTCTAACTCAGAAACTGAATGTAGACCGATTGTTGCAAAACTACTCAGGCATGTACCTGAGGGGAGAAAATTTGCAAATCAAACAAAGAAACATCTTTAAATACTGGTACAACAACATTGCTAGGTGGTGCTATAACACACACACACTTAACCAAAGGTTGGCCGACTTGCATTAAATTTGGCACACTGCCTTTATGTGCCATCCGGCCTCAGGTTCTATGATGCTGATGTCATGGAAAAAACCTTGGCTGCCATCGGCCAATCAGATTTCACCAGGTATTTGACAGCCATAGAACTGGACAGTCACCACAAAACTTGATATGTATCTACAAAACTTCACAGGAATACCCTAGCCATAATTGCAGTGTTGGGCCTTCTTGCGTAAGACAGCTTGGATCCTGCAGATTACTTGGCCACTGCTTGTGGCTATGTTAATAATTTAGATTTTAGATTTTACTCCAGTAGTTTTCGTTTAAAAGCGCATTACTGACAGATATGATTGTCAGTTCTCAATAGTTATGTTTCCTAAACTCAAATAAACAACATACAAAAGTCTTTAATAATGTAAATGTTGTAGCACTGGGGGAACCAAAATTGTT